GTGAGGACTTGGGTGTGAATTCGTGTTACTCTTTTCTTTGGCCACATCCACATTCTCATGTATACTGCATTCTGGATTGTATAACAGTAAGAAACATGAAAGAAAAAATATAACATATTGGCCAATTACATTATAATATCATTAGTTTCAAAAAAATTAAAATAGACTTCATACACTGAAAATGAGATACATATTTTTCATATCAGTTCTTTTGACCACTTTTCATCTTATCTTATTTATTCCTACTGGTCGATACTAAGTTTTGCTTATGTAATCTGTTTCATACTTTTTAGATTCAATTAACAAACTTATTCATAAGAAAAACCTAAATTAATCGAGCGCTGAGTAATTTTACTTGGTAAATAACTATTAACATTAAAACCAGTACTTATATGAATAACTTTCACTGAATAGAATATTTGAAACTAATTCTAACGTTGAGAAAACAAAATTCATTTTTCTCAAACATTAAACATTTCTGAATTTCACAATCGAATTCTCATCAAACGAAAAATGAAAGCTTTTTTAAATGATTGTTTACTATCGAGAAAATAAGCGTTCAATTTACTAGGATACTGTTCAACACTGGCGAATGTCTCATTTCAATGAAATTTATGATTATCTTTACTCGATAATACTTGTTTCACTGTAACACCACCGTTATGTGCAAGTTCAATTCACATTCATTCAAATGCTCGATGGAAACAGAATGGCACCACTGTATCTGGAGGAAATGGATTAGACAGTGGACTCAATCAACTCAATAATCCACTAGGTTTGGATGTCAATGATGACCAAACTATTTATGTTGCTGATCTCACGAATCATCGTATTATAGAATGGAAATTGGGTGCAACTAGTGGCAAAGTAGTTAGTTGCTGTTGGAAATGGACAGGGAAATGAAGCTCATCAGCTAACTCGTCCCCTCGATGTATTTGTCGACAAACAGCGAGATAGTCTCATCACCTCCGATAGTGAAAATGAACGACTAGTTCGATGGCCTCGTTATAATGGTACTAGTGGGGAAACAATCATTTCAAACATCCATGGCACTGGTTTGGCAATGGACAATAATGGATCTCTCTATGGCGTTGATGAAAAACATTACGCAGTGAGACGATATCAAATTGGTGACACTGAAGGGGCAGTAGTTGGAGGTGGCAATGGAAAAAGAAATCGTCTCGATCAACTCTCTAGTCCTCAATTAGTATTTGTCGATCGCCATCATCCAGTGTACGTGTCTGATTTACGGAATCATCGTGTGATGAAATGGGAAGAAGGTGCAAAACAAGGCATTGTCGTAGCCAGTGGTCAAGGACAAGGAAATAGTCTTACACAATTGTCTGTTTCTCTAGGAGTCTTTGTTGATCAATTAGGCACTGTCTATGTGGCTGATCGAGGGAATGATCGTATTATGCGTTGGCCAACAGAAGCCACACAGGAAAGTGTCATTATTGGTGAAAATGGTACTGGAGCGCAGTCAAATCAATTCAGCAATCCCATCGATTTAGCATTCGACCGTCATGGCAGTCTCTATGTCACCGATCTAAACAATAATCGTGTCCAGCGTTTTTCTATCCTATGAACCTATTTGCGCTGTTCTTTGTTTCGCTTTCTTTCGAATAAATACGATGGATATTTTTTTCTATCCTATCCACAAGCGCATGTGCAATCAGGAAACACCATGATAGAGCCGTAACGAGCAGTAAAGACTCCTGCACGCACGGAAACAGACTTGAATCATCTCATATCCGGCCATCGAGATATGCCATAGAAATTTTTACAGCCTGATCGTGTGCTATGGATGTCATAAGGTTACTGATAGAAGATAACGGTCTTCACGAGGGATAGCTCGCCTGGGCTTGAAAGAGACGTGCATGTGCATGTTAGTAGTGTTTCAATAATCACACGCATATCGACACCCACACACACCCACATCCTTACCGCCCTTTTCCTTCTGCATACAGTTTAAATGCCCTAAATATAAACAGAAAACAAAATAAGTTCCATAATTCGAAGACAAAAAAACTTACGAATAGATAAATCATTTCCTTATCCAAAACAAAAACGTTGTCAACTAAGATATTTTCGAACAGGCACGAAGCATTCTACATCCGATATATTTTTCCTGTTGAATCAGTCACACGTTTATCTGCAACTTCAAAGTACTCATCAAAACATCAAAGTACATAGAATGTCAATTCAGCGATACTCAACACATCCTCTCCACTTACTTTTCTACAATGCAAAAGCTCTGCAATTATAACCCGGCCTTCGACTAACACACAGATTTGTTTTGACCAGATTTCAATCTTCAAACAAACTCGAATCAAATCAGAGATACTAAGCCACCTGATGAGACTCATAGCTGAGTCAAAACGCATCGTGGTAGCTTCTACAGACCCACACCAACACCCCACTTAACTCTGAAATGGACAATAGAGTTTGCCATCATCTGCGAGAGAGAGAAAGTGGATGCAAACTCTTACATCTGTACTTCAATACTCGTTTTAGATTGTGTTTCACAAAATTTTTATTTTGAATATACCTTTTCTTATGCAACTCGATGACTTGTATTCAACCATCACAAAAAACATTGTTGAAATTTGCAAATTGTGAGTGCCTTCCATATACTATAAACATTTTAAAAACGAATATCTCGGTACATGCAACACCAAAAACAGTGTATATTTGAGATTTGTTAGTTTTGCAGTGAAAGCTTTAATTTAAACTGAATAACTAACAGCATAAGTGCCTCTATGGTAAGAGCTCACATTTACACAAGTGCAGAGATCACTTTTGTGAAAATGTATATACGCGAATTTGTAATCTTCATTTTTACCATAGGAACCAATATATTCAAGAGAGATGAGGGGAGAAAAATTCTAAAAAAATTAAATCTATTACTTTTGATGATCCTTCATTGAATCGTGAGACAATATCGGTACGATAATAGATCGATCGTTTATTCCGTTCTATTCTAACTTTCGCATCTAGCGAAGAATGATAGAATGCTATTGAAATGCTGATGTTGTTAATACTATTTCAATGTTCGATATTCTCTTATTTCCAAATATTTCATTGAATCTAGTTTTTGGAACAATTGTTTGCGGTATTTTTTAAGTGCATAATAGTGACGTCCATCAATAAAGTTTAGCTTGATGGTCAAGACAGTGAGATATGTTTGTCACTTGTTGACTGCAATAACAACAAACAAACAACAACAACGACAACATTCAGGTTTTATTGAATAATTGGAGTAGTTTGCGTAATGACCAACCGAGACGTTAAGCTGAATGAAAGCTACTTATAATCGTTGCCGAAAATAGAATATAAGAATAATTTGTATGTAGATCATTGGTTATAATAACCTCGATTTGAAAATAAAATGAATTAGATAGGTTTATTTCACACACGGTTAATGGCAATAAAATTGAAGTGGCATCATTCTGATTGATCGAGCAATGGCAGTTGTGTTCACATGCATTTACTTGATTATCCAGAAATGAAAGAGCTTGATCGCCAATGATACCTTAGATTGCATGA